TCTCCATCTCCATCTCCATCCACTCCTTTTAACCTTTGAACTCTTTTGAGTTTCTTAATGAACGATCATGTTATAATATATGTAAGCAGCTGTCAATACGATTTAGTAATGCCTGTAAGTATCTCTACTGCCAATTCTTCAACTTAAAAATATACCATTAATTTAATTCTAGTTGATCAATTTGACTGTACAACATCCCAAGTTTTTGTTAAGATGATTTCAAGAATTCATGTTTTACAAAAAAAATTTCACGTTCATCTGCATATCATATGTATGTCCATATGTTTCGCGTCTTTGCTATCTGCTTTGGTGATTATATATGTATTGTTATTATTATTATTATTATTACTATCTTGATCCAGTTTAAAAGTTCTCGAAATCTTAACTTTTTTGCTAATAACTTCAACTTTCTATTTTTTTTCAAAGAAATTCAACTCAATTCCTACAAGTATAAAGGATTTACTCGTCGAATTTCAATCATTTTTGATTTCATGAAGTTGCAAACAAAAATAAATCGTTTCATATCCAAAATCGATGAATTTCTTTCAATTCTTACGGGCTAATCTCATATTTTTTCAGGCTATTCAGAAATTATTGCTTCAGCGCGTAATTTCATTTCTCCCACATTCATTTTTCTCCAACACACAACCCCTTCCTGTCAAATATTTCATTTCTTTCCACGTAGCCAACTTTATCATCATTTGCTTTCTTAACTCCCCAACCTCTGACCTTACCATTTTACATTTGCTACCACTGCTAATTTTCTTTACTGTAGCACCAAGTAAGTACACGCAAACGTGATCCACTGTATAAATTATTTTACAGTTATTTAAAAGAGAAAAAAGTAGCAATGTAGAGAAATGGAATCGTTCTGCAGACGAGACATCTGAAGAGAAAAGGTTTGTGTGTGTGTGGGGCGGTGATGGCTTGCCAGGTGAGGCGGTACTGGCCTTGACAACACAGCTCTCTCAGTATCAGCCTTCTGCCCCGCTCGTAATTCCCACTTCTTGTCGAAACGTTACCGATCGTTTCTCGTGATCTCCCGTGCTTCCGCGCAAGATATTTTACACATACTCACTGTCATAGGCTTTTTCCATCTGTTTCTGTCCGATTCTTTAGAAATAAAAACATTTAAAAACATTTTCATTACATTTAGTTTTGGTTATATTTTAATATTATGCATTTTCGGGTAAAAACTTGCACAACTCTATAATGGTTACTCTTTTAAGTAATTTATCGATATCGTTATTTTCAAGCAAAATTATTCTAAAACCTATTCTAATTGCTTATTTAGTAAGTAATTTATTCAATGATGACAGTAGCACTGCTTGTCATTATTTCTATTTACAGTAATTAATTGACTTACTCTTCTCATGCATTGCAATATTGATATGAAGTTAATCACAGTCACGAAAAGTATATTACTCAAAATTCATACTTTTATAATTCGTATACGTCTGTATGTATTTAAAATTTATATTTATATTTCCCTCAGTACTTTACATTATTTATACTTCTTCTGTAAAAACTGTCAGAAAGGTGTCACAGTGTTTTGTGTACTTGTTTAACTTTAGCTACTTGCATGAAATGAATTGTGATAAAATGAATGTACACATCACAGACTCTCAACCTTTCCTTTTGTAACAATGATAGCGTCGTCACCTTTTATGCAAGCATACTGAGGAAGTTAATAAAAAGTCGAGACAACTTTGAATGAGTGAAATACAATTGCACATGCGACTCAGAAGGCAAATAAATGAATAATCCGTTTAGAGTTAGTCATTCAAATTCACTTTAATAATAATGCGTGAAAGACTTACTCGCAGCGTTAAATGTCAGTAAAGTAAGTCCTCAATGTTGAAGTTAGCAGCGACCCTTCTAATACAGTGAATGATATATATAACGAAAAGTGTATCTATTCACTGTGAACATTTCAATATATCTTCATGTACTTCTGAATATCATTGGTTTTTTCCTTCCAAATATTAATGTCAACCTTCTGAGCAAATGCAAGCAGAATACGTTTCTGACACAAATGAATATTTCTAAACTGCAATAAATTTGTTTCTTTAATTTAATTTAATAATATACTGCAAGCATTGGTAAGGAAAACGAAAACTTAATCGAATTAATAAGATGAAATTTTTCATATAAATGTCGTGTGCATCTGAATAAATTTTGCACATTTTTTCTAGTATGCACTATGAAATTGTTGCTTTTTATCATTCTGCAGACTTTATTAGCACTAGCAAGTGACCTCTTCATCATTAAAACGCTTATCAACGTCAGGCAAGTAGACTACAACTGATAAAATTTATTCCTCACCTCACTTCCTTACTGGTATTTTTTGTGCACTGAAGTTGCACGATACTACGTTTCGCTTTAATAAATGTCTAAATTGCGCTCATATTTAGTAATAATTAATAACAAGGATATGAATAAAATAGGATAACATCCAACTCTTTCCTCTGTGAAAGGAAGCGAAAATCGCTGTCACTGATAGTATTTTGCTTGTTTTTGAGCAGAAATAAGCAAAATAAACGATTAATTGTAAGCAAAAGATAAATCATTTGTTCGTCTTTTTTTTTAATTTTTCAGTCAAAAATGTATAAAACTGAAAGGGAAGAGGACAGAAAGAGGTCAGTGAAGTAGTAAAGTCCTTCGTGCGCAGTTGCTGCTCTGATGGAAGAAATTCTTTCCTTCCCCGTTACTTCAATTAAACTCTTTCGATCATTCTGTTCTAATCATTGTGCATCAAACGAATCAGCGTCTGTTCGGACGAGTCTGCCTGCCATTACTAAAATTAATACCGAATACTCCTCCTAACTCTGCCACAAATAAATGTTATTCGATTCCTTCCCCTCTGTCACTTCTTTCTTCACTGCAATATGTCTTGTCTCAAAACTGCTGCTTTGCTTTTATTACAAATACCCTTCATTTCCTTGACAAATTACTTTCATCCTTCTGCATACCTAAAATGGTTGACAACAACACAAATTTAACGTTCGCTCTGCCATACCAAAATCTTTTCTTCAATTACAACACATGCAAATATCATTACTAATCAAATCAAATTTATATATCGAATATATGAATGATATATTTTATAGATAGATAGATAGATAGATAGATATACTCTCTAAAGGATACACTGCATCAAAAAAGTCTGCTATAAGTACAGCAGTGTGAAATCTCATATAATTATTGCAACTTCTATGGAATCTAATGCTTTTGCATTTGTATTATAATTGTCATTATCCATCTACTTTATTCATGCCAGCACTCTATTCTTACTCATTATTCTTTTCATCCCATCCCATCTATTCTTATAGCAATTATCAATAAAGTGCTTTTAGTAACGACAAACTTTACTTCTTTTACACTAACGTTTATACTGCATAGTTCATAAAGAGTTGCATACTATCGCACACAATAATAAATTTATATTATACTGCTAATTTTATATTTCAAACTGAATCGCCTATTTTATGTAAATAAAATGCCTCATTTTTCTTGCTGCTATCAACACCCTTGTAATAATTCTAATCTACACATGTAGACGAACCACACATATTACTTCTAAACAGACTGCATCTTAACAATTAACAAATGTAACCTTTCAGAATCACAATAATACAATCATGAGTGAATACCGTAGCACAATTTCGGCGCGACCTGGTTACAATCGTATCAGTTCAACAAGCAGTTCGAGCACATTCGGAGGACTTCGTATGTTATTTTTTTTTATCATTAGATTATATGAATATTAATTAATGAAATTGCATCTCAATAATGAAAATTTTGTACCCTTCCAATAAAGCTTGATATTTGTTCGAGATATAATTAGTAGCATTGTAAATACAACAACAGGTTCCATTTTTCAGTCGACTGTTCTCCTCCCAATTTTTTTAGACGTGGATCATTTTCTTTGGGCTATTAATTTATAGCATCTCAATCATTAAATTTTCAAGTGATAAGTAAAGTAATAATAACTGTTAACAATAAATAAATGAGCTTTTTATAAAAATTTGCTTCATTTGCAGTAATAAAATGATTGGTCTCTGCCAATTACTAACAATTGATAAATTTTAGAAAAGCTATTTATTTTGTCCTTGTAAATGCATAAAATTTTTTATTTACAGCATCTGGCAATCGAGTAGTGAAAGTAGTGACTGAAATGAGTTCATCTTCGATGACCAGTGGCTTGTCCCCCTTCGGCCAGAATGCTGCTTCCACGATTCGTGATGCCCGTGAGCGCGAGAAGAAGGAAATGAGTGATTTGAATGATCGTTTAGCTGATTATATCGAAAAAGTTAGCATAATTACCAGTAAGCATGAAGTAATGTATAATGCAAAGTAGTGCAAAAACAAGATACAAAAGTAGGCGCTGTTTTAATAGTTACTCTGAATTGAAGGTACGTTTCCTGGAAGCTCAAAACCGTAAACTGAATGCTGACTTGGAGATGTTGCGTGGACGATGGGGAAAAGACACTTCAAGCATCAAAATTATGTTTGAAGGTGAACTTGCTGTAAGTTTCAAAATTGCAGAACACAACATAATATTTAATTTTTTCTAATTACTGTAAGAAAACACTGCATAATTACTAGTATGAAGTGCTTTTTACTAGTAATGCTATTAATAATTATTCAACAAAATCACTGAATAATTAACTGTGCTGAGAAAAAATCAGTGACTTTCATATATTTTGGAAGTTTAGCGGCAAGCAGAAAGCATTCAAATATCAATAAAACCAAGAAGAGAATTTTGCCAGTAATTTAATTTAGCAATTTTTTATTCATTTGTAGCTAACTTTAGAATATATGAAGTGAAATTTCAAAAATTTAACAAACTGTTTGAGAAGAGTATCAGGCAAAATTCAAACAATTTAATTATTCAAATTAAAATTTGTATAAAAAGTTTTCTGTTAAAAGAGCCAAATTTTTTCGCCAGAAAGCTTACATTCACTTCTGGTATGTACTATGAAGAATAAATTTCAACTGCCGTCTAAAAAAATATCAAATCATGCATTCAGCCATCTGCAACCCTATAAAAGTGGATATTTTTTCTCAAAGAAGGATTTCTAGGAGGCTCGAAAAGTAATCGGTGATACGAAAAAACAACGCGATGAGCTTGAAAAACAAATCATGAAAATGCAAGAGGAATTAGCTGAATATCGCAGAAAGTGAATCCACTTTTTATACCACTATTCCTCAAATAAACAGTTTTCCTCCGAACAAATATTCTTTAAATTTGGCAAGTTGATAGATGAAAAGGGAAAATCGAATTCCATTCACCGTAGTATTTTTTTTAGTCAATACATATAGTGGAAATAACAGATAAATTTGATGAATAATGCAAAAGTTCAGCTCAAATTCGGAAAAATGATCTTTAGAAAAACATATTTGCCTTAAAAAGTTGAATTCTTGCATGTCATTGGCATATACAATTGATTTTCAAAAATGATTTTTAATTTAGTTTTCTATATTCAGTTAAAAACTATATCCTTACGGCTTCTGACTCAAAGAAAACTAAATAAAAAATAACTTCTAAAAATAAATGTGTATCCTGGGTACATGCAAAGCTAACCAATCATTTCCCAAACTTCAGAAATAAATAGATTAAATTAAAGTTACGCTACAAATTAATCAATTCAGCAAGGCGCTTAATAAAGTACAAACTAAGCAATATAACTATTCACAGATTTGATGAAGCAACAAAAGCAAGTTTGGGAGATCGTGACAAAATTGACGAGCTTCTGGCGGCATTATCAAATCTTGAAGCTGAAATTAATTTGTTACGACGTCGAATCACTCAGCTGGAAGATGAGATTTCACGAATCAAAAAAGAAAATCAACGACTTGTAGGAGAATTACAACGCGCAAGAACTGTAAATCACAATTTTCTAGAGTAATTTCCAATAACACAATAGCATATTTTTATGAAATATCGTTTATAGGACTTGGATCAAGAAACACTGAATCGTATCGATTATCAAAATCAAGTGCAAACACTTCAAGAAGAAATCGATTTTATTAGTCGTGTACAGGATCAAGAAATTCACGATCTTCAAGCAATGGCAGCTCGTGATACAACTAGTGAGAATCGCGAATTCTTCAAGAATGAACTTTCATCAGCCATTCGTGATATTCGCAGTGAATATGATCAGGTAATTCATAAAAGACTAAAAACCATATCAAAATTTTGACCTACTCATTGTTTTTTTAGCAATTTTTGACAAGCAGTTAAAAAATTATCAAACAAAGCAGCACTAGTGAAATGTAACAAATCAAAACAAATTATGTCAAAAAGTTGATACGATCTGAATCACTGTATTAAAAATATTGTGAACTTATTCTACAGTAATATAAAACCTGCATTGCCTGAAGTGATAATAAGTATGAAGAAAGTTCTAGATTATGTTGTTTAGATGACAAATGCTAATCGTAATGATATGGAATCGTGGTACAAACTAAAAGTACAAGAAATTCAAACGCAATCAGCACGTCAAACCATGGAACAAGGTTATCAACGTGAAGAAGTAAAAAGACTACGTGTCCAACTGGGCGATCTGCGAGGCAAATTAGCAGATCTAGAAGGACGAGTAAGTAACCATTTTTCCTGGTACACGATAACTTTAAAAAATCCACGTTTAAAAATTTTCCGATGCATTATTTTTACTTTTATTGTTGCAAAAATCAATTCTTGAATGAACTTGCTAATCATATTTGCAGAACTCCCTACTAGAGAAGCAAATCCAGGAATTGAACTTCCAACTTGAAGACGATCAACGTTCATACGAAGCTGCTCTGAATGATCGCGACGCACAAATCCGCAAAATGCGTGAAGAATGCCAGGCATTAATGGTTGAATTGCAAATGTTGCTAGATACCAAACAGGTAAGAATCGTGTAATGTTTCTTAGCCTAGCGTATTTTGCAACTACCATTAAGAGTTATTGAAAATAGTCAATCTTAGTCATTTTAGAGTAATATAAAACGACAGATTAATACAAACGATATTCTTTGTGAGATACGTGAAACTTTTACAAAAAATGAGAATTTACAAATAATTTTCAGACTTTAGATGCCGAAATAGCAATTTATAGAAAAATGCTAGAAGGGGAAGGAGACGGACCAGGTTTGAAACAACTTGTTGAACAAGTTGTCCGCACTACAGGTATCAACGAAGTAGCAGATACAGGTAGTTTAATTACACTCCTTTACTTAAATTAAATTAATTAGCAGAGTAAGCAAATTTTCCAAATATGCCTTGTAATGAATCAACTATAATAATAGAGATTTGTTTTTACAGCTCACCAACACATCCACTAATTAACATTCATTAAAATTAACGCTGCAGTTTGGTTTATTTTGGTTTCTAGTATTTTTATGATTAAATATCCATACTTTATAAAATGATAGCAAATTTTGCTTCTATCAATGCATTTTTATGATTATAGAAACAATGCGTGTAGTGAAAGGGGAAACATCCTCTCGTACATCCTATACTCGATCTGCGAAGGGCAACGTATCAATCCAAGAAACATCACCTGAAGGCAAATTTATTGTCCTAGAGAATACTCATCGTTCTAAGGAAGAACCAATTGGTGAATGGAAGTTAAAGAGAAAAATAGACGGAAAACGTGAGATCGTATACACATTACCAAGAGATTTCATACTAAAACCCAGTAAAACTGTGAAGGTAAGCATCATCATTTTTTTAACATTCAGCAATACACAAATAAGAGTTTGAGTAAAATTTAAAAAAAATACCGTCAAAAAAATTAATGTAATCAATGCTCGCGCAAACGCAACTGAAACAGAGAACAGCAAGGAATGATAATGAAAATTTTAGATTTGGGGACGTGGACAAGGCGGAGTCCACGCACCACCCGAGCAGCTTATCTTCGATGCCGAAGAGTCGTTTGGAGTGGGAAGTAACGTGCAAACTATCCTTTACAACAAGGAGGGCGAGGTCTGTCTGTCCCTCTTCTTTCGCTTCCACAAAACTAACTCTAAATATAAGCCACAATTAACTCTTGAGTAACTTGTCGCACTTCAGAAAGGCAATCAGAGTAGAATTTCGTGCTGCCCTTCGGTATGCCTTAATTGTACTAATTTTAATTCCAACTACTGTCAACTGTTAATCGTCAGATTGTGTATGTACTGACTGGGAAGGGTAACTGCTTTCCTTTCCTTAACAATAAATTAGTGAAGTGAATAGAAAATACTGCTCCCAGAAAGTAATCATTTTTGCAGGAAAGAGCAACTCATATCCAACGCTCTAGCCAAACTGCAAGCTAATTAGTTAGTCAACAGCTACAAGCAAAGTTTATCCTTTCATCGATCAAAATGACGTCAGCCGAATGCATCGTTTCGCTTTATCCCCCAAACGATTACATCTCTTTCCTTTTCCTTTTTAGCAATGTCATTTCTAGTAACACTTGATCGTTTGCAATAAAGTTATCCTAAATTGCTTACTTCACTTGACAGTAAGCACATCACACATCCACAATATTGTACACATGCAGACTCAAAAATAAATAACTTGAAAATAGATGCTTGCTCCAACAAACATTGCTTTGAATAGCTTAGCTCAGAGATGTATCTCTTACCTGACAATACGACTTTCCTCTTACAGTTGATGCGTTTTAAATTTTTTTCGCAAATTGACACCAGGTTGGGATGTGACTTGCAATTATCACATCTTGGTTTTCTTCGAGTGGTTAGGGCAGTTTCTGTTTGTGGATATATGAAGTCACTTCACAGCTAATTTAATTGCAGTTTCTTCAGCCATTCATTCCTAACGATTGCTGTGAATAAAATATTGGTAAAATGCTAGAAGAGCTGAAATACGTTGACCGTAAAGAACATTGTGATGCCAATGCTTACATCTCAAACAACCCTTCACCCACACTCATAAGACATGCATGACGTGTGTGTGTACGCAAAATATGATATTTATTAGCATATTTACCACGTACAATTGCATATATATTTGTAATTGTGCCAATGAAAAGAAAAATAAATGTGAGAAGCTGTATATGTAAGCGCGAAAAGTTAATGCTCGGTAAAATTATGTAGTCACTGTGGTAATAAGTTCAATACAAGATGAAAGCAAAACTAAAATTAAGTTTTTGATTTCAAATACATAAATTAAGGACAAGTTTCAAATAAAGCTTTATGTTATATGCAAAACCATTTACATAGTATGAGAAATTTATCAAATAATACTGCCATTATGATTGCTGAACATGATATTTTATTACTGCTTCTCACCTGCTAACGTTATGTTTTCAACTTTAAAGTAAGGGTAAAAAAGCAATCAGTAATCAAGACTCTTCAGGTTTGGGTGTGCCTCATCTTTTACATATCGTTTTGAGCACCAAGTTGGCATCATCGTTTTCTTTGAAATATGGCCAAAGTTATCCGAAGTAAGTTTAAATGCCGACAATTTATCATATTTGAAATCTGCTTTACATATGCTCGAAGAAAAATAGAGAAATATCTTCATAAGTTGATAGATTTATTTGGTAGGATTCAAATGCTAGCCAGTAACCGGTCAATTTTCATTAAATTTTGTCCAAAACACTGGAAGATTTTTTGTTGCACTTGTGATAGCAATTGTATATTGCTTATATTTCTGACTTTTCATGATAACTTTTTGGCTAATATCTATTGTTCATTCTATTGGTGGTGGCTCTTTTTATAG